AAACGTATATAAAAATTACAAAAAGTCTAAAATAAACAATTAGCAATGCATGGACTCGATAAAATGTATCAACGTTTCGTGTGTATTTTTGTCTAGACATCATCTAATTAACCATCAAGATGACCTCCGAAGACTGCCAACGGTCATATAACCCGATATAAAAATAAATATAAACATAAACTGATAGCGACCACGTGCAATTGAATTGTTCTAGGTCTGTTTGATTTTATATTATAGGTTAAAAGTATGTTTATCATTGTTTTTACCTGTGTTAGAATTATTTTTTTGTAGATCGAATCAGTCAACTAAAGGATTCATCCTTGTTTCGCTTTCAATGTTGACATTCTTTTCCTTATAATATAAGAACACGCCTAGTTCATGTGTAACCCATTTCCAGCTAAGGGTTAGATTAAAGGTCGCATGAATACGGATTCAAAGAGGTCGAATTATTCACTTGCAAGTGAATATTTCATCAGTGATGTTATTTATCTTATTTTGACAAAAAGCAAATTAGTATTTCACTATATATCACTTTTATTAATGATTGAACAAAAAAAAAATCATATTTCATTTTTTAGCTCACCTGGTGAGCTTTTCTCATCACTTTGCGTCCGTCGTCCGTCGTCGTCGTCCGGCATCGTCTGTTAACTTTTACAAAAATCTTCTCCTCTGAAACTACTGGGTCAAATTTAACCAAACTTGGTCACAATCATCATTGGGGTATCTAGTTTAAAAAATGTGTCCGGTGATCCGGTCAACCAACCAAGATGGCCACCATGGCTAAAAATAAAACATAGGGGTAAAATGTAGATTTTGGCTTATATCTCTGAAACCAAAGCATTTAGAGCAAATCTGACAATAGGTGAAATTGTTTATCAGGTCAAGATCTATCTGCCCTGAAATTTTCAGATGAATCTGACAACCTGTTGTTGGGTTGCTGCCCCTGAATTGGTAATTTTAAGGAAATTTTGCCGTTTTTAGCTCACCTGACCTGAAAGGTCAAGTGAGCTTTTCTCATCACTTTGCGTCCGTCGTCCTGCGTCCGTCGTCCGTCGTCCGTAAACTTTTACAAAAATCTTCTCCTCTGAAACTACTGGGCCAAATGCACCCAAACTTAAACACAATCATCATTCAAGTATCTAGTTTAAAAAATTTGTCCGGTGACCCGGCCAACCAACCAAGATGGCCGCCATGGCTAAAAATAGAACATAGGGGTAAAATGTAGATTTTGGCTTATATCTCTGAAACCAAAGCATTTAGAGCAAATCTGACATGGGATAAAATAATTTATCAGGTCAAGATCTATCTGCCCTGAAATTTTCAGATGAATCAGACAACCCATTGTTGGGTTGCTCCCCCTGAATTGGTAATTTTAAAGAAATTTTGCCGTTTTTGGTTATTATCTTGAATATTATTATAGATAGAGATAAACTGTAAACAGCAATAATGTTCAGCAAAGTAAGATCTACAAATAAGTCAACTTGACCAAAATGGTCAGTTGACCCCTTAAAGAGTTATTGCCCTTTATAGTCAATTTTTAACCATTTTTCGTAAATTTTTGTAATCTTTTACAAAAATCTTCTCCTCTGAAACTACTAAGACAAATTTAACCAAACTTGTCCACAATCATCATTAGGGTATCTAGTTAAAAAAATTTGTCCGATGACCCCGCCCGCGAACCAAGATGGCCGACATGGCTAAAAAATAGTGCATAGGGTAAAATGCAGTTTTTGGCTTATATCTCTGAAACCAAAGCATTTAGAGCAAATCTGACATGGGATAAAATTGTTCATTAGGTCAAGATCTATCTGCCCTGAAATTTTCAGACCAATCAGGCAACCTGTTGTTGGGTTGCTGCCCCTGAACTGGTAATTTTAAGAAAATTTTGCAGCTTTTGGTTATTATCTTGAATATTATTATAGATAGAGATAAACTGTAAACAGCAATAATGTACAGCAAAGTTAGATCTACAAATAAGTCAACATGACCAAAATTGTCAATTGACCCCTTAAGGAGTTATTGCCCTTTATAGTCAATTTTTTACAATTTTCATAAATTTTGTAAGTTTTTGTAAATTTTTACAAAATATTTTCCACTGTAACTACCGGGCCAAGTTCATTATAGGTAGAGATAATAGTAAGGAGCAAGAATGTTCAGTAAAGTAAGATCTACAAACACATCACCATCACCAAAACACAATTTTGTCATGAATCCATCTGTGTCCTTTGTTTAATATGCACATAGACCAAGGTGAGCGACACAGGCTCTTTAGAGCCTCTAGTTGGTTATTATCTTGAATATTATTATAGATAGAGATAAATTGTAAACAGCAATAATGTTCAGCAGAGTAAGATCTACAATTAAGTCAACTTGACCAAAATGGTCAGTTGACCCCTTAAGGAGTTATTGCCCTTTATAATCAATTTTTAACCATTTTTCGTAAATTTTTGTAATCTTTTACAAAAATTTTCTCCTCTGAAACTACCAAGACAAATTTAACCAAACTTGTCCACAAACATCATTAGGGTATATAGTTTAAAAAATGTGTCAGATGACCCTGCCCGCGAACCAAGATGGCCGACATGGCTAAAAAATAGTACATAGGGTAAAATGCAGTTTTTGGCTCATATCTCTGAAACCAAAGCATTTAGAGCAAATCTGACATGGGGTAAAATTGTTTATCAGGTCAAGATCTATCTGCCCTGAAATTTTCAGACCAATCAGGCAAATCGTTGTTTGGTTGCTGCCCCTGAATTGGTAATTTTAATGAAATTTTGTCGTTTTTTGTTATTATCTTGAATATTATTATAGATAGAGATAAACTGTAAACAGCAATAATGTTCAGCAAAGTAAGATCTACAATTAAGTCAACTTGACCAAAATGGTCAGTTGACCCCTTAAGGAGTTATTGCCCTTTATAGCCAATTTTTAACCATTTTTCGTAAATTTTTGTAATCTTTTACAAAAATCTTCCCCTCTGAAACTACTAAGACAAATTTAACCAAACTTTTACACAATCATCATTAGGGTATATAGTTTAAAAAATGTGTCCGATGACCCTGCCCGCGAACCAAGATGGCCAACATGGCTAAAATTAGAACATAGGGGTAAAATGTAGATTTTGGCTTATATCTCTGAAACCAAAGCATTTAGAGTAAATCTGACAAAGGGTAAAACTGATTATCAGGTCAAGATCTATCTGCCCTGAAATTTTCAGACCAATCAGGCAACACGTTGTTGGGTTGCTGCCCCTGAATTGGTAATTTTAAGAAAATTTTGCAGCTTTTGGTTATTATCTTGAATATTATTATAGATAGAGATAAACTGTAACAGCAATAATGTACAGCAAAGTAAGATCTACAAATAAGTCAACATGACCAAAATTGTTAATTGACCCCTTAAGGAGTTATTGCCCTTTATAGTCAATTTTTTACAATTTTTTCATAAATTTTGTAAATTTTTGTAAATTTTTACAAAATATTTTCCACTGTAACTACTGGGCCAAGTTCATTATAGATAGAGATAATTGTAAGCAGCAAGAATGTTGAGTAAAGTAAGATCTACAAACACATCACCATCACCAAAACACAATTTTGTCATGAATCCATCTTTGTCCTTTGTTTAATATGCACATATACCAAGGTGAGCGACACAGGCTCTTTAGAGCCTCTAGTTTGTAAATTTCGTAACTAATGCCCCTTTTAAAACTGTTTCCAGTGGAGAAATATCATATCAGACTAGATGCAATGGTAGACTCTATATATTATCAACACTAAAGGTGTTGTACCTGTTATTGTAGTAACTTGTGAAAATTTTGAATAACTAAGGATTATAAGTTAGAATTTAAATCAGTAAGTCACATTATGAATGAAGTCTTGACCACAATGTTATTGACCCCTTGGACATGTTGGAGAATTATTCTAAGTTGGTCAAAAAGCAAAAAAAAATAATTTGTCCTTGAACTCCTCTTACACCATTTGATTGGTCCGGAATTAAAAATGATAATAGTTGTCTGTGCCAAAGGTTTAGAAATTTCGATAGTTGCCCTGAGACTAGAATAATAGACAAATATATCTCTATTTATCCAGTGACTAGTGAAATATTGATATATAGATATAAGAAGATGTGGTATGAGTGCCAATGAGACAACTCTCCATCCAAGTCAAAATTTATAAAAGTAAACCATTATAGGTCAAAGTACAGTCTTCAACACGGAGCCTTGGCTCACACCGAACAGCAAGCTATAAAGGGCCCCAAAAATTTGTCTGTTGTAAGAGGTTGATATATACTTGAATCATAATTTATCTAAAGGAATTTAACATGGTGTGTATGGTAACTACATTGTAGGAGGATAATGTTTCTAAGGGTCAACATTAAAGACTTGATTGTCCTAAAACTACTCTCAAAACTAGATATATATATATATGCTGATAGAAGTGTGATAAATTCTTGTATAATCAACACTATAATGGTTTTCTATATCGCAATTGAATTTGATAATTATCTCCCTTTGGACAGAAAAAGGATAAATACATATGTATATAACCAGTTATCCAGCTAATATAGAAATATTGTAACATATTTTGTTAGACTGTTTATACTTGACTCATAGCTTACATTATACAAATGTTATATATGTGAATTAAACAGATTTTATCTAAATTTTTGTATAACCCGTAGGGATCCAAAAACAAAAAATCATCTATTACAACCAATGGATATGAACAAGAATAGGTGATTAGAACTGATAATAAAAAGTATAATTTTGCAGATACACAAGGTGTGAATAATTATGGGAAATGACCGAATTATTCAGGTTATAAATTTTTTGGCACAAATGGTAAACGATTTGTAAAAGTTATCTCCCATTAATTGATCTACATGTACTCCTTTAATATTCCTGTGTACATTGATTTTTTGTCTAGCCTACGACTTCTGTTCAACTTGTTTATTATATATGTATGATTTTAATAAATACTTTTTTTTTATCATATTCACAGTTTGTCATCGCCATCACAGAGTGGAGGTCAGTATAAACTTTATACTTATTCATTTTGTGCAAGAAAAATATTTTAATACTGCAAATTTAGAAATTATTGTGAGGTCTTTATTAATGCGAATAATGGGACTGTGTGAGTTTCTCAATAATGAAAATAACATTCTGATATCTGATTAAAATATTTATATGCAGCTTTTCCTGAAATAGAAATAATAAATCTCACAATTTTGTCCATTCTTCAAAATTCAAATAAAAAAAAATGGAAAGAAATGAAATTACAAACACTGTTAACACAGAGATATGTCTCGCCTTTTTGTAATTTTGATAATGCAAATGTTGAAATTAAAATAAGCAATACTGTAACATGTAAGTTATGCAAATATTCAAAGTCAATGAACCATGACTGAAGGTACATGGCTAAACAATCTCCATTGAAATGAGATGCGCCAAAGCTAATACAACTGCATACCAAATACCATTGACTTATCATACATAGTTCCCTTTAGACAAACCTAAACACAAACATTAACTTGTAAACTATGTAAAAGTTTCAAAAGTCAACGAACCATGATAAGGGGGTGGGGCTATATAATCTCCATGGAAATGAGACTTGCAAATGCCAATTAATTTGCATACCAAATATCATTGACTTATCATTAGCAGTTCATCTTAAACTGATCTAATCACAAACTAATACATGTAAACTAAGCAAAAAGTTCAAAGTCAATAGACCATGACTGAGGGAGCGGGGCCAAATATTCTCTATGGTAATGAGATGTGCTAATGCTTATACAACTGCATACAAATTAACATTGGCCTACTGCTAATGGTTCCCCTTGAATTGACTTATCACAAACTATTAATACATGGAAACTAAGCATAAGTTTCAAAATCAATAGACCATGACTGAGGGGGCGGAGCCAAATAATCATCATGGAAATGAGATATGCCAATGCTTATACAATTGCATACCAAATATCATTGACCTACCATTAGTGGTTCCCCATAAACTGACCTAATCACAAACTAATACATGTAAACTAAGCAAACGTTTCAAAGTCAATATACCATGACTGAGGGGGCAGGGCCAAATAATCTCCATGGAAATGAGATGTGCCAATGCTAATACAACTGCATACCAAATATCATTGACCTACCACTAGTGGTTCACCATAAACTAGACCTAAATCACAAACTAATACATTGTTGACACCGCCGCCAGAAACAGCGAGACAAAAATCTAGCAACACAAACCCCACCAAAATTGGGATAGGTGGATCTCAGATTCTTCAGAAGTGTAAGCAGATCCTGCTCCACATGTGTCACCTGTCGTTTTATAGTCACCGCACATACAAATTTGGTTGTAAAGTCTCACTTGGTAATGTCATAATCAGACAATCAGATCAATCCTGATGATATTCTTATTTAGTAAAATACTCTGTGGCCCATTCGAAGTGGTGCATATCAAAGATTGTCAACCCTACAAGTTTCTCTCAGAAAATAATCTTTTAGGATTGACAATTCTGGATATTCATCATAGTTCTCTATACTCAAATAAAAAAAAATATTATCACGTAGGAAAAATAACAACTCTAACATAAAAATTGTCGAAATCTAATATTTCACGTAATACACACATCCTTAATTTTTCTGACACCTTTTTGAACCAAAAACCAGAAGTTAAAATCCTGTTTTAAGACCAATAAAAATTCGGTATTAATCAGTTTTTCTGTATTAGACCTGGATTGACAACCAGTTCTCAGACACACGGAGTTGTATAAACTGGACAATTTATAATGTATTTTAAGTCATTGTTTAATAACTGTTAATTGCATGTATAATGGTTAAGCTTGAGGGATAATTACAGCATAGATTAAGTCACATTTTGAATATTGACAGCATTATTTGTAAGCAGCTTATTTGAAATGAATGTTTTGGTACACTGATCGACAATCACAATGATAAAAACACACATGTACAAGTTCTGAATTTTTAGAATTATTAAATTTTCAGAATGTCAGAATTTTTATATTTTAAGAATTTCTGAATTTTCTGAAGTTTCTGAATTTTATTACAGAACATTGTCATGCATTTAGAAGCACAGCTGGTGTAGACAAAAAAGCCAGAAACAGATTGATCCTTGCCAGTGTGCTGTGCCTCATATTTATGGTGGCAGAAATAATAGGTAAGAAATAGTTTTAAGTATCGGATGCATTCAAGAAACAAATCATTTTTGTCGAGCCTGAGACTTTTGTCGCAAAAGCGAGACATAAAAATCCTACATTCCGTTGTCAACGGCGGCATCCACAGATATTCACTCTGTGGTTAAAGTTTTTTGAAATTTTAATAACTTTCTTAAACTATCCTGGATTTCTACCAAACTTGGACAGAAGCTTGTTTATGATCATAAGATAGTAACTAGAAATAAATTTTGTAAAAAAAAAAAATCCTGTTTATCCGTATTTTACTTATAAATGGACTTAGTTTTTTCTGCCAGTTAACATTACATTCACTCTGTAGTTAAAGTTTTAAAAATTTTAATAACTTTCTTAAACTATCCTGGATTTGTACTAAACTAAAGACAATTTAAAACCAGTGTAAGGGAGGTAATCCGAACATAACGTTTTGATTACCTCCCTTACACTGCTTTTAAATTATGTTTAAAGAAATGCATATTTATAAAGCAAGACCAGTAAAAATATCTGCAAATGTTGCATCTTTTTTTTTTAACAAAAAAATCCATATGTAAGTTTTGACACCATATTTTAAATTCTATTATAAAATAGATTAAGTTAGCACTATGGTAAATTTAAATGGGTAATTATGGTTGCAAACTCCATTGGAAATTTGAATTGAGATTATGACCATATCTTGAGGGAAAGATTTTTTTTGGGGGGAAAAAGAGGGGGGGGGGGGGGGGTAAAAAGAAATTGTGGGGAGTCAATTTTTTCTCATTTCAGATTTCAGACAGAAATTAAAAAGAAAAATTCTTCAAATATTATTTATTTTGCAAAAAAAAAGTGGGGTGGGGTGGGGAAAGGGAGGGGGGTTAATAAGCAACAGCATAGTGTATTGCACAAAAGCCAAAAAAAAAAGGGGGGTAATTATTTTTTTTTGTGGGTGAGAGGGGGGATGGTCAATTCGCAACAGCAAAGTGTATTGCACAAAAGCAAAAAATTGAATATAAATTCAAATCATATAACCAATTCTAAGTTATTTGACTACAGTTATTCTGTGTCAGAAACCTTTTGTGTGTCAAATATTTAATTACAATCCAAATTCAGACCTGTATCGAGCACGAACATTGACAGTAATTGTGTCCATTTTTGTCCCAACTGTTCAGGGTTGGACTTCTGCGGTCGTATCCAGCTGCGCTCGGCGAAGCAATTTATTCCTACTGATGAGATATACCAGGTGTTTACACATCATACAATTTTTCAAAAGGGATAAGCATTTCATTCTTCGTGATTATACATTATACAATTTTTTAAAAGGGATAAGACAAATAGCAATAAGGTGTATTGTACTGTGGATTTGTAATTATTTGTGGGATACCCATTTACGTGGAATTACATTGGTTCAGATGTACCACAAATTTAAATGTTCAGTGAAATACAAATATTCTATAATTTGCAGACTTTTGTAAAACCACAAAATCAAATATCCACAAAAATTAACCTTTATCCACGGAAAATTGGTGCTCAAGAAAATACACACCTATTGCTCATGACTACCGGTAGTATAAAGACATGAATGATTACTCTACTGTCCATTGGTTGATATTTTTTTCACTGATTAAATTTTTCATGTTTTATAAGGTGGAATAATAGCTGGAAGTTTAGCAATAGTATCAGATGCAGCTCACCTGTTGACAGACTTTGCCAGTTTTATGGTCAGCTTATTAGCTTTGCTGCTTGCCTCAAGACAACCAACTAAGAAACTTAGCTTTGGTTGGTATAGAGCAGGTAATTCAATTTTGTAGAAATTTTGTGTCTTCAAACATTTTTAACATCCTTATCAATAGATATTGTATTATATTTTATGCTACAAGCAAAGTATTCAACTTATTACACTTGCCAAAGAGCAGTAGGGACCTCATGGTATTTATTGGCACCCATCATCCACTGTTAACCTTTGAACCTGCAGAGATTATCTCTACAAAATTTGGCAGGAATGATGAATGAAAGCTAGGTTCTTTAAAATAAAAATTCCTGAAATTTTTTATGATAATTGATTTTGTTGTTGTTTGCCGACTGTCTCATTGTCCCACATCTTACTGTATTCATATCCATTAGGTTGAAGAAAAGTCATTGTTGATATTGGGATAACAGGTGAGTTATAAAGGCTCTTTGTTACCTGTTTGAAGCCTATATTATTGATCTTTTTCAGAAGTTTTCATTTTAAATTTGAATTAGAAATTTCTGTTTTCTGTTTTGTTGTTGTTTTCAGAGGTTTTATTGCCATTTTTTTGTCTCTCCTAGGAAGAAAGTTGCAGTATAAGAGCCTTAGGGATTACTATCCAATGACAGTGAAGTAAACTATTTGTTTAAAGCTTTATATTTCAGAAGGTAGAAGACCTGGATGCTTCATACCTTGTATGCAGATACCTTGTGTTACGAAGTTTCTGGCAGTAATTTGTCCATTGTCCTTGACCTCATTTTCATGGTTCAGTGACTGCTTGAAAAAAAAATATAGTTTATTTGTCTTGTGAATTTCTCACTTATTATGAGTAATAGGATAATTATAATTGGTATATGGGTTCCTTGCAAAGTCTACATGTTCTTCAGACAGAGATCACCTGACCTCTACCTCATTACATGGATCAGTGATCAAGGTTAAAAAGTTACATGATTAGGTCCATTTCTCAGATACTATAAGCAGTGGGTCAACTATATGTGGTGTATGGAATGGTTGTAAGGGGTATATGTCAGTCTGGCAGGTTTCATCTGAACTTGACCTCATTTTCATGGTTCATTGGTCAATGTTATGTTTTGCTAAGCCTGCAACTTTTGTCTCAGAAAGCTCTACATAGGGATAGTGATCTGGCAGCGGCAGCGTTAACTAACTACTTGAAAGCTTTATATTTTAGAAGGTGGAAGACCTGGATGCTTCATACTTTGTATATTGATGCCTTATATTATGAAGTTTCTGTCTGTCATATGTCCATTGTCCTTGACCTCATTTTCATGGTTCAGTGACTACTTGAACAAAAAGTTAAGAGGTTAATTTCTCTCTTATTATGAGTAATAGGATAACTATATCTAGTATGTGCGTACCTTGCAAGTTCCTCGTGCCTGTCAGACTGTTTTCATATTTGACCTTGACCTCATTTTCATGGTTCATTGCTCACTTTTTAGTTTTTGTGTATTGGTCTGTTTTTCTTAAACTACAATAGGTCAACAATATTTGGTGTATGGAATGATTGTAAGGTGTATTTGTTTGTCTGGCAGGTATCAACTGACCTTGACCTCATTTTCATGGTTCATTGGTCAATGTTAAGTTTTCATGGTTAAGTTGGTTTCTTAGATACTATAAGCAATAAGTCAACTATACTTAATGCATAGATTGATTGTAAGGTGTTCATGTCTGTTGGGTATGGTTAATCTGACCTTGATTTTCATGTTTCATTGGTCAATGTTAATTTTTCCTGGTTAAGTATGTTTCTTAGAATTGATAAGCAATAGGTTGACTATAGTTGGTGTATTGAATGATTGTAAGGTGTACATGTATTTCTGGTTTGGTTTTTATCTGACCTTGACCTCATTTTCTTGGGTCATGTTAAAGTTTTTGTGAAACTTGTAGTTAAGCTTTATATTTAGGACTATCAACATAAAATCAGTGGTCAGTAAAGCAGGCGATACATTTTAGGATGTGCACTCTTGTTGTATTTTCATGGTGCATTGGTCAATGTTTTGTTAGGTCAGCTATGTTTGGTGTTTGGAACAATAGTAAGTTGAACATGTCTGTCTGGCAGGTATTATCTAACCTTGACCTCATTTTCATGGTTCATTGGTCAGTGATAAGTTTTTGTAATTTTATCAGTTTATCAGATACTATAAGCAACAGGTCAACTATATTTGGTATATGGAATGATTGTAAAGTGTAAATGTTTGTCTGGCCTGGTTCATCTGACCATGACCTCATTATCATAGAACATTGTTAATGGAAAGTTTATGTGCTACTTGTAGTATACCTTCATGTTACAGACTTTCAACATAAATTCAATGGTTACTAAAACAGACATACATTTCAGCATGTGCACTCTTGTTTAATTATTTTTCTGAAATTTTATTTTATTTTTTTCAGAAATTTTAGGTGCATTATCATCTATATTACTATTGTGGGTTTTAACTGGTATTGTAGTTTATATGGCCATCAAAAGATTGATATCTAATTCTTATGATATTAATGCTACAGTGATGTTAATTATAGCTGCCTGTGGGGTGGCATTTAATTTGTTGTAAGTATTCTATAAAAAAACCTGTTTTGTCACTAGTTTCAATAAAAATTTTAATATATATACAGTGTTCCAGCTAGGATTTCAAAAGGGCAGGGAGCTAATCATGAAAAGGGCACTTCAGCACAATCATTGATATTTCAAAAAGGGCATGTCAAACATTATCATATGTACATGATGTAAACTGCAGGGATTTCAGCTAGGAGTTTTGAGGGGGTTTAGTCACTTTTACGCTAGATGAAAATCACTTCATCATATTTGATCTACTATCAACTGACTATTGGCAAATACAACCTTATTTTGGGTAACAGTAAGGGACCAGGGACTTATATTACTAGCTAAACATATGCCTAAGGCCTTCCAGGACAATGATCTTTGAAGGCCTTAGGCATGCTACAAATGTAGGCAGTCATGGTATGATTTTACTGGTGTGATGCTTAACTTATAAGGATCTGGAAATTAAGTTCACAATTTCAGTTATTTTGAGGGGACATCCTGATCAACCAAAGTCAGGTTCCTTTTTTCCAAAGCTTGGAATCACAGCATAAATGAAATTGTAACGACTATTTCACTGCATAATCAATATCCCTTTAAAAAAAAATTTAAAATAGATATTTGGAATCCATTTGTATGAGCTTGGAATGATTAAAAAGACTGTCTTTTATCAAAGAGAAGATCATGTTTACTTTTGATTTTCAAATGAACTGAAAACAGGAAGTGACTAGAGTTTAATAAATTTAGAATGAATCCGGATTCATCTACGGATTGGTTTGTGTTTAATGTAAAGGCAAGAAATAATCATTTTTTTAAATTCAGTTGCTCAATAATAAATATATTTGTCTCTCCAGTTAATTTGATACTTATTTTACATTTAAGTGTCCATTAAATGTATACAGAAACGTTCACGCATGCACGGTTCATGATTAAGAAAGCACATTTTTGAATCATGAAAATATTTTTGATCGTTTTGAAAAAAAGTTTTATCTTTATAATCGAAATTGTCAAAAGATTTCAATGGAAAGTTTTATAAAAATGTGACGAAAATATGTTCAAATGGCAAAACTACGCCAACCGAGCTGGAATAAGTATAAATCGTTTGAGAAATTTTGAAATTAAATGAACAGTCCAGACAAAACTACAAAAATGTCTATGGTTAATAAACGAACTGCAAATTGTGGACTTTTGAGAAATATTGAAATTGAAATGCTGACTGACCGAATTTGATGGGAAAAATAATTACAATGGTCAATTATGAGGTTTAATTAATGGATTAATGACCAAGATGGGGATAAGCGGATTATCTGTAATCACAACTTATTACACCTGTTGTAAATGTTGATTAGCTGAGGGTCATAAACTTGTCATAAATATGAAGACAGGTAGAATGATAGTATTTTCATCAAAATATTACAACAACAAGCATTCTGAGAGTATTGCATGGCAATACATAGTCCCCTACCAGGTAAAAATTCATTATACTGGAACAAAAAGCTAACTTGTCATGGTGTAAATAAAAAAGAAAATATCAAGTAAATATCTTCAAGCATGACTAAAAACAGTGTGGAAAACTGATTAAATGAGTGAATTTTTCAAGTCCAAGGACCATAACTCTGCACAAAATTATCAGACCGAAACAAAATTTCGAACTTGATCTGTATAACTTGTCATGATAAAACTATATACCAATTATCAATCAATAACTTCAAGCATGATCAAAAAAAGTGTGGAAAACACTTTAACATTAGATATGATTAATAGTTATCTAAAATTAGATATGATGTAATACAGTGTATATCTATTTTCATATTATAATCAAATATGATTAATAGTTCCAAATATTTTTTCTTTTATTTGTCACAAACTAATATAGATTTGTAACTTATCTATAAAATGTCAACATTTTTTATCTACACAATGTAATGTAATATATACATTAATAAAAATAGATTATTATCTAATTAAAGGATTTCACTTCATAATTTTTTTTATTTATATATAGCATTCAGAAAATTAGTTTATACAAAATAACAAACAAACCTGCCAAAAAATTCTTCTAATAATTTACCAAAGAATATCTTTTAAAAAATGAGTTATCTCCCTTTGTACAGAAATATGGTTTAACATAGTACTCTAACATTAGATATGGTCCAGAGTTATGGTTCATAACTCTGGACTAAATCTTCAGACCGGAACAAAATTCAAACTTGATCTATAACTTGTCATGGCAAAACTATATACCAAAGGGCACAGGGCGGCACTAGGGAAAGGGTGGGCAGACCTCCCTGTGAAAACGACCAAGCTGGAACATTGATATATATATAAATATGGGGTTTATAATGATGAGACAGTAACCCATCATGAAGGTAAAACCAGAAGAGGTCAGTACAGTCTTCAACCATATGAATATATCTGGCTCTAAATTTATCAGAGACTTTCTATAGCTTGTTAACAGATTGTTACTGATCCATTTGAAGTAATCAGAAATCAGTAGTGGAAAGAACTTGTTGAATTAAACTTACAAAAAAAAACAGCATATTTCCAAGTCAAACAAAGCACTGTGTCTACACCAACTTATGATATACTTTAGACCACACTGACTTTTGATATACTTTAGTCCACATTACCTTGTTGACATGCTTACATGCTTAACCCCCTTTCCCCACATACACACACACACAAGATGGTTCCCTTAGAGAAAGTTTCCTAATTTGTCAACAACAAAAAAAGGCTTAAAATTATTCCCAAAACGATTGAAAAATGTTGAACAATTTAAAAAGTTTTAGTACAATTAATTGGTTATTTGAAATTTCCCAATTTTCAAAAAATGAGTCATATTCTCCACCCCAAAAAAAAGAAAGGGTGGAGGTAGTTTTGAAAAAAGCCAACAAAATCACTGGTCGTTCCTTATAACCACAAAATTATTTACCTCAGGAATAAAAAACAAATCCTCTATTATTGATGATTTTATGTATTTTTAGCATGGGGTTAACCCTACATCAGCACAGCCATAGTCATGGAGGTAGTTCCCATTCCCATGATTCCCCTACAAAACAGAACTACAAAACTATAAATAACCGAGATGAAGAAGAAGATGATCATAGCAACCACAGTGACCATTCTCACAAAAGTAATATAAATGTACGAGCAGCATTCATCCATGTAATGGGAGATCTTATACAAAGTGTTGGTGTACTGATAGCCGCCATTATGATATTTTTTAAGGTAAGGGTTCATTGTGATCCTTTTATTGTCTGTCACATTTTAGGCCACACCAGTTGGAATAGGATCCCAGAATACAAGTCCAGTACCAACAAATGAAGTCCCTTGATAAATATACCATCTTTTAAATAGGATATTGTACTAAGGTGAAAATAATGTAAAGATGCTCAGATTTGTAATATATATTTGAGAGCTCACAAACATGTTTAGACCCGCCACATTCATTATGTGCCTACCCCAAGTCAGGAGCCTGTGGTTCAGTGGTTGTTGTTGGCTCATGTCTGTCATATTTGTTTTTCGTTAATTGTTTTGTTATAAATTAAGCTGTTATTTTTTTCAATTGAATTGTTTCATATTTTTCATGTCAGAGCCTTTTAAAGCCGACTATAAGATATGGGTTTTTCTTTTTGTTGAGGGCGTACGGTTGCCTATAATTGCTTACATCCAATTTATTTGAACTTTGGTGGATAGTTGTCCCATTGGCAACCATACCTCATCTCCTTATTTTTATGCCCCGTCTACGATAGTAGTAGGGGCATTATGTTTTCTGGTCTGTGCGTCCGTTTGTCCGTTAGTTCGTTCGTTCCTCCGTCTGTCTCGTGTCAGGTTAAATTTTTTGGTCAAGGTAGTTTTTGATGAAGTTGAAGTCCAATCAACTTTAAACTTAGTACACATGTTCCCTATGATATGATCTTTCTAATTTTAATGCCAAATTAGAGTTTTGACCCCAATTTCACAGTCCACTGAACATAAAAAATGATAGTGTGAGTGGGACATCCGTGTACTATGGACACATTCTTGTTATGAAGGGTTGTTTAACTTCCACTTCTGTTAAATTGTGCGTGATTCTGAAATCTTTAGGGTGGATGATTGTGGTAGTATATGGTCTAAATTTTTATTTTCGATTTTAACCAGAAAGTTAATAAAATGACCATATTAATACTCAACACAGTATTGCCCTCTTAAATGCTGGTTATTCCCTTGTATAAATGAAAAAGTTGTTGAAATTTTCGTTTCTGTTCTCAAACTTTAGTGTACTTCAACCAAATGTTATGATACTTATACACAATGATTTTTACCATAAAACACAGATCAAGTCATATTTGGGTGGCGTCACTTTTACAGTTCTCTAGTTATGTCCTTTTATAACATTATATGCAAGTGGGGGCATCGGACACATTCTCCTTTTTTTTTTTTCAATTGAAGATGGCTAATCCAATATACGAGGAAACCCTTGCATAGCCTCTGGCTGTTGGTAATCTTCGTTAAATAAATAAAGAATTAAATAAATCCAATATGTAAATGCTTTCTAATTGGCTGCTCTTATAATGATTTGCTTATTTTCTATTTTTAGCCTGAATGGAAGATGGCTGATCCAATATGTACATTCCTTTTCTCAGTAATTGTCATGGTAACTACAATCACTGTTGTCAGAGACATTTTAGTAGTACTAATGGAAGGTAGGTTAACAACAAATATAGGCAAACATTTATGAAAAAATCACTCTTTCATGAAACGTAGATATCATGGATTTATTACAAACATTTAGCTGTGAATACTATATTGCAACTTTGTTTACATGAATCATATCTATTACAATGTCGTTTAAACATAGCAGTCATGTCGCAGTCTTTTGGCAGTCATGCTTTGATCACTTTTTAAACGCTTTCGTTCCTTTCTGTTATATTATTCCGTTTTATTACATAACTGGCCTTGTCAAATGAAGTTGTTATAGTTGGACGACAAATGATTTAATGGCTTCTTAGTTCAAGATTTTGGTCACGAGACATTTTTCGTGTATGCATTGTATTTGGTTGGTTATATTTTACATCAACTTTTTTTTGTTGTTATTGGTGAAAAAATAATTAATTCAAATCCTTACATTTTCTCACGTACAACACTCGTGTCAACAAAAAACCTGTAAATGGCCCCTTTACTACTTTGCATATACAGAAACAGCTACAAATATTTTACATACGAGTCATTGAAAAATTTATTTGTAGATCGATAGCATTCTATTTTTATAATTTCTTTTGTCATGGAGACAAAAGGAAGTGCCGGTAAACAACACATAAAAACAGAACGTGGAGACAAAAGGAAGTGCCGGTAAACTATACATAAAAACAGAACGACTGTTGTTTATAATCTTTATTGAAAGAATTAAAACAATATATGAGGCAAAATATTTTAATGAATTTAACTAGAGACATATATTTGTGACATATCGAGCATAGCTCTCCATCCTTTCATAGAGTTATATGTAATTAGCACATGGTGGTATTACTGTTGCTCAAGTCAATGATACTTTCTTCCTTTGTAAAGTCTATTATTAAAGTATTATTGGTAGTCTTCTGTAGACAGCTATAGTTATTCGTGATATATTGCTCCCAGCTTTCGTAGTGATGGTATGTATCCCTGTTGTGGTTGTTCTGTTCTGTTAATATCCATAACTGTTAATTCTGTATTTATTCCAATCAATTGTTAGGCCGTGATTTTGAGACTTGAACTCTCAAAATCACAACCCAACAATTAACAGTAAGGGTACCACCATGTGCTAATTACATAGAACTCTATACTAATCTATTTATAACTAAAACACTTTCGTTTTCAATTCTATTTTTAATCATTCTATATTTACATGTGTACGTTACTTATACCTACCATTATTAACTGTTACGTCACTTTAGATTGACCACTTTGCATACTTCATGCGCATTAATTCTTATATAAATTGTCCCGATGACGCCTGCCTTGCATGCAAAACATGTAGACCAAAGTAAATAAAATTGCAGACCATTTGAAGTGTTGTTGTCAATTTTGATTATTATTCTCAAGTGTTGCATTCGTTTGCATGATTTGACAACCCGGCATATGAAGGTATCCCCTTCAGGAACTCTACCAAAAGGATTTCACAGGTGTAAGTTCACCAGACAGAGTTTAATTATGAAAAAAAAAGTAGAAGTTAGCAGGCAAAATTTTTAATTGCACTACATGGTTAAAACTAGAGGATTCCGAATATCTAGCAAAAATTCAAAACTATGAGTAGGGAACATCCTGAAGCGAAAATTTGTCATGCCAGGTCTTCCTGTTCTTGTCTCACTGTAGTCATAGCCATGAATTTAGAGCCTCAATTCAAATTGATGGATTGTAAGTTGATTAACATCCAGTGGCAAATGTTTCATGTATGTTCAGGACGTGAACAAATTAACAATAAATGCAATAGGTAGGTCCTGTAATAGAGGATTGCAGGTTAAGGTTGAAGAAATATGAACTGCCACTGGAAAATGAGGGTATATTGGATGGGGACAGAAATTTTGCCTTGCAACAGTCTCATTTTAAAAGTCACGATAATACACATTTTTGTTTTAGGTACACCAAGAGGTTTAGACTTTGCTGAAGTTCAGACAAGTTTTTATAGCATTCCAGGTGTAAAGGATCTACATGATTTAAGGATGTGGTCCCTGTCACTCAATAAAATAGCATTATCTGTTCATATAGCTGTTGGTATGTATGTTAATGTTGAGGATATCAAATTTATGGATGTGGTCCCTGTCACTCAATAAGATATGGTAATCTGTTTATATAGCTGTGAGAATGTATATTAATGCTTTAGGAAAACTATGGCTGCAACCCACAATCCAAAACCTCCTTTAAGAAAAAGGTTCTAAGGCTAATATTGAATCCCTAGACACAAAGGTTTTCTAGATCAGGGATGGCGGCCTAAAAAAAAATGGAAAAATGGATCCATATTGACTTGTCAACATAAATAATGCATAATCAAATGGTCGTAACTTCATAATTTACAATATGAGTTGCCAAAAAGAAGTTATTTTTTAGCACAAATATTTCTATGACAAATTAGTAATATTTTGCCTGATTTAAAAAAAACCATTAAAATCTAAGGGTCAATATTACCCCTTCCTGAACCTACTCCTTTACGGGTATATGATACTAATTTTAAATACATGTAATAAGATGTATTGTTCTTGTTAAGAAAGTGTGAGCCACATTTTTTTTAGGGGCTAGCAGAACTGAGAACTAATCGTAATTAACATTGTCGAGCCTTCGACTTTTGTCGAAAAAGCGAGCCATAGCGATCCTACATTCCGTCGTCGTCGGCGGCGGCGTCCACAAATATTCACTCTGTGGTTAAAGTTTTTGAAATTTTAATAACTTTCTTAAACTATCCTGGATTTCTACCAAACTTGGACAGAAGCTTGTTTATGATCATAAGATAGTATCCAGAAATAAATTTTGTAAAAAAAAAAAATTCCTGTTTTTCCGTATTTTACTTATAAATGGACTTAGTTTTTCTGCCAGGAAACATTACATTCACTCTGTGGTTAAAGTTTTTAAAATTTTAATAACTTTCTCAAACTATCCTGGATTTCTACCAAACTTGGACAGAAGCTTGTTTATGATCATAAGATAGTATCCAGAAATAAATTTTGTAAAAAAAAAAATTCCTGTTTTTCCGTATTTTACTTATAAATGGACTTAGTTTTTCTGCCAGGAAACATTACATTCACTCTGTGGTTAAAGTTTTTAAAATTTTAATAACTTTCTTAAACTATCCTAGATTTGTACCAAACATGGACAGAAGTTTGTTTATGATCAAAAGCTAGTATCTAGAAGGAAATTTTTATTAAAATTTTGTACTTGTTTATCCATATTTTACTTATAAATGGACTTAATTTTTCTTCCAGTTAACATTAGATAAAGTCTGCAGTTAAATTTTTTAAAACATTTATTAGATTCATAAACTATCCTGGATTTTTACCAAACTTGGACAGAAGCTTCTTACAATAAAAAAATTGTATCGAGAGGAATATTTTTATTAAATTTTTTCCTCATCTCATTTTTATTGAGCCTGCGATTAACAGCAAAAGTAGGCGAGACACTGGGTTCCGCGGAACCCTTACGATTTTTTTTGAGTAATGCTCTAAGAATGATTTGTATTTTATAGATGAAGATGCTGACCCATTAAAAGTATTAAAATTAGCATCAGCCATGGTACAAAAAAAGTATGGTATAGCAGAGACAACAATTCAAGTTGAAGAATACATTAATGAGATGGAGAACTGTACACATTGTAAAGACTTGCCAGATTAAGATACATTTTGTATACAGCATTATATAATGTTCTTCTGGGAGATTCTGGCATGTCATTTAACATAGGTTATCTCCCATTTTCAAGAGTTGTTAAATGGGTTGTCTTCCATTGTCAAGAGTTGTGAAATGAGTTATCTCCCATTTTCAAGAGTTGTAAAATTAATTGTCTCCCATTATTCTAAAGTTTTGAAATTAGTTATTTCCCATTTTTAAGTGTATAACTTGAGAACATTTGTACCAATTTTATTCAAATTTTATATCTTGTTTTTGATAAAAGGAAGGTCAAGTTTAGAATTGAAGTGGTCAAGTTTTTACATGGCTAAACCCTAGAATAAATGGGTTCAATCATGTAATTCTTTAAATTTGTACTTTTTTCATCAACCATCAAATGTAAATAATGTTAACATGTCTTATATGTGTTACCTCAATTCAAGCTGCCATGTTGTTTATATTGGTAACAAAAGTAGTCCAATGAACACAGTCTATAGAAAAATATACTGCCTCAAACAGAAGTGTGTGTAACCAATAATACTAAAGGGTACTTAATTATGCAAATCTTCCTAATTATGCAAATCATATAAGAATTATTTACATATATTTACCTGTGCTGCAAGGGAGACAAAGCTTGAAATAAGATGTCAGCCCATGTTAGATGACATGCTAAATTACAGCTGTATGTAACAGTGCTCAAATGTACCAATGATAATGATACTCTAAATTCATTGTGATTTTTGAAGGATGGGAAAAAATGAGAGATTAATTATTGCAATTTTAGGAAAATGTGCATGCAGCTATATGTATCAGATATCAGAATTTGAGTTATTATTGTGATAATCACCCAGTCGCATTATTCCCATAAATAAAAACCTTGCAATTATTTGTGAATTTACAGTACTCTATTAATATGCATTATGGGAGTCTTTCTCTTTAAAAATAAGCTGTGATTTATTTTATTTTATTACATTGGTAGCATTGAATTACATTGATTTCCCAGTCAAATAAAAACCGATAATTTCACATGTGAAATAAACGTGGTTATTTCACTCTCTGACGTCATGCAACAATAGGCGTTGTCAAGACGTCGATAACATCGGATCAAAACAAATTGTGAATGCGTAGAAAAAAGATATAGTTCCTTACATTTTCTACATTAATTTCATTAAAAAAAGCCATTTGCCAATGTAATAAAAAGAATAACTAATCAAAGAATTAAAATATCGAAAAATATTCAACTCGTGACCGAACAACACTGATAATTAACTCATGTGCTACGCGCATTCATGAATTAATGTGTTGTTCGGTCACTCGTTGAATATTTTTCTCTATTTGAATTCTTTGATTAGTTATTCTATAATTATTATTTGTTAATAATGCCATTGTTAAGTTTCTATAAATTATGTAGTGTTTTCCAAATAATCAAAAGTGAATGTGGGATAAAATTCAATAAATAAATGATAAAATATCAAAGATTTCATGTAAAAAATTTTCTAGAGTTCAAAGGTCATAAGGTTATCTACGGAACCAAATCATATGTAGATGATTATATTGTTATCAGATATCGAAAGTATCTTTAATAATCAAACAAATTTTTATTCTTATTTGACTTTTGTTTGGCCTTGTGAATACCTATTTGTTAGATATATATTTTTTTAACTGTAAAAAATATGACTTTTTATACGACCGCAAAAATTAAAAATTTTTTGGTCGTATATTGGTATCACGTTGTCGTCGTCGTCGTCGTCAGCGTCGTCCGAAGACAGATGGTTTCCGGATAATAACTTTAGTATAAGTAAATAGAAATCAATAAAATTATAACACAAGGTTTATAACCACAAAAGGAAGGTTGGGATTGATTTTGGGGGTTATTGTCTCAAAGGTTTAGGGGCCAAAAAAGGGGCCCAAATAAGCATTTTTGCAGTTTCCAGACAATAACTTGTGTTTAAGTGTATGAATCTCTCTGAAATTATACCACAAGTTTCCATACAACAAAGGGATGGTTATGGGGGGTTATGGCTCAAACCATTTAGCAATTAGGGGCCAAAAAGAGGGAAAAACAAGGGTTTTTATGGTTAAAGGACAATTTAGACAATTTAAAAGCAGTGTAAGGGAGGTAATCCAATCCATTTAAAGAATATTGTTGTATATATGTTTGATTACCTCCCTTACACTGCTTGTTAATTATGTATTAAGAAATGATGATTGTCTTGAGGTGATTAGCTGTAAATTTATTTTTAGAAGTTACTATTAATTAATATTAATTTTAACCATGACTGTATGTCATTTTATATTTTAATATTTTATGATGTATTTAAATGAGTAGTTATGGTTGCAAACTCCATTAAAAATTTGAATTGAGATTATTTTTGGAATAAGGGAAAGGGGGAGTTGAAAAAAGTTTTTTTTTTTTTTTGGGGGGGGGGGGGGGGGGGTAAATAAGAATTTGTGGGGGGGTTACAATTTTTCTCATTTCAGATTTCAGAAATTTCTTCAAAACATTTTTTTTTTTTGGGGGGGGGAGGTTGATATTCAACAGCATAGTGTATTGCACAAAAGCAAAAAATTGAATATAAATTCAAATCATATAACCAATTTTAAGTTTTTGACTACACTTATTCTGTGTCAGAAACCTAGTATGTGTCAAATATTTAATTACAATCCAAATTCAGACCTGTATCACGCGCGAATATTGTGTCCATTTTTGCCCCAACTGTTCAGGGTTGGACCTCTGCGGTCGTATCCAGCTGCGCTCAGCGAAGCATTTTATTAGTTTTTTTTATATATTATCATTTATTGTTTCATAAACAGTCATTCCATTTTGAGATGGCCAAAGGTAAACTGCCTTGTGTATACATTTGTATTTACATTTCATGTTTTTCTTAGTTTCAAAAGTCTACTGTATAGTGGTTCATTTTCACTGAGTTTAAATTTCACAGGTTCTTTGATAAAACCTTTTGACAAGGTTTTATTATCCATTAATTTATGCATGGGATATAAGCAAGAAAAAAAATTTCAGACAAAAATCTCCTACCCGTACTTAACATCTGTGTCTATAAACCAAGAGTCAGGCTAGACCAAACTTTTCCAAAATCTTTTCTGAGTTGTGCTGTTTTAAAATTATATTTGTTAATTGTACTAACTACCCAACTTGGCTTGTGAGTGTTTTTTCTTTACAACTACAAATCATGTTGGAACCATAGAAATAAATAGACCTATTGTGATTCATGTTTGGACCATAGAAATAAATAGACCTATTGTGATACATGTTTGGACCATAGAAATAAATAGACCTACGGTGAATGTTCACCAGTCCATATGATTGAAAAGTAGAACTTGAATCTCTAGTTTTATTGACTTCATACAAAAATAAGAATATGTGGTATGATTGTCAATGAGACAACTCTCCACCAGAGACCAAATGTCGTAGACACATGGTAGAAGTTAACAACTATAGGTCAGCGTACAGTTTTCAACAATGGCAAACTATAAAAGGCCCCCAAATGACAAATTTTAAACAATTCAACGAGTAAACTAACGGCCTGATTTATGTACAAAATAATAAACAAAAAATAAATATGAAAATCAGCAACAAATGACAACCACTATCTAGTTAGCTCACGGGGGCCCGAAGGGCCCCATGTGAGCTTATGCCATCACTTGGCGTCCGTCGTCGTCCATCGTCGTAAACTATTTAAAAAATCTTCTCCTCTGAAACTACTGGGCCAAATACCTTCAAACTTTAACTAAATGTTCCTTAGGGTATCTAGTTTATAAATTGTATCCGAAGTTTTGATCCATCGACAAACATGGCTGCCATGCATGGCTAAAAATAGAACATAGGGGTCAAATGCAGTTTTTTTGCTTATATCTCAAAAACTTAAGCTTTTAGAACAAATCTGACATGGGGTAAAATGGTTCAATTGGTCAAGATCTATCAGCCCTGAAATTTTCAGACGAATCGAACAACTCATTGTTTGGGTGCTGCCACTAAATTGGTAGTTGTAAGGAAATTTTGCAGTTTTTATACGACCGCAAAAACATTTTTGTGGTCGTATATTGGTATGACGTTGGCGTCGTCGTCGTCGTCTGGCGTCGTCCGGCGTCGTCCGAAGACACATTTGTTTTCGCACTCTAACTTTAGTTTAAGTGAATGGATCTCTATGAAATTTACCACAAGGTTCAATACCACAAAAGGAAGGTTGGGATTGATTTTGGGGGTTATGGTACCAACAGTAAAGGAATTAGGGGCCAAAAATAAGCATTTTTGTAACTTCCAGACATAACTTGTGTGTTAGTGTATGGATCTCTCTGACATTGTACCACAAGGTTCCATATCACAAAAGGAATGCTGGGATTGATTTTGGGGGTAATTGCCTCAAAATTTTAGGTATTAGGGGCCAAAAAAGGGGCAAAAAACAAGCATTTTTCTAGTTTCAGGACCATAACATGTGTGTAAGTGTATGGATCTTTCTGAAATTGTACTACAAGGTTCCATATTTTTTTTCCTTTTTTTTTTCTTTTAAAATTTTCCATTTTAAGTTGGTTATTTCTGATTTATATTTAAAAGCAAATAATAATGATATGGTAGGAGATACACACCAAACAGGATGTGTAAATTATTATATAATAAGTATTGTGCAATAGCAAGAAATTTTCAATTGCACAGTATTGCACAATAGCAAGAAATCTTCAATTGCACAGTATTGCGCAATAGCAAGAAATCTTCAAATGCACAGTATTGCGCAATAGCAAGAAATATCCAATGGCACAATATTGCGCAATAGCAAGAAATTGTCAATTGTACAGTATTGCGCAATAGCAAGAAATATTTAATTGCACAGTATTGTGCAAAAGAAGATACTTCGTATAAATTGCTTATTTCTTGACCAATTTCAATGGGGTTTTATTCTTGAATTGTTGGGGTTTTTTAATATGCTAAATCATACCCTGTATTAAGTTTTTGGATTTTGGGCCCCGTTTTTAAATTGGTCCACATTGAGGTCCAAAGGGTCCAAAATTAAACTTTGTTTGATTTCATCAAAAATTGAATTATTGGGGTTCTTTGATATGCCGAATCTAACCGTGTATTTAGATTCTTAATTTTTGGTTCCGTTTTCAAATTGGTCTACATTAAGGTCCAAAGGGTCCAAAATTAAACTTAGTTTGATTTTAACAAAAATTGAATTCTTAGGGTTCTTTGATATGCTGAATCTAAACATGTATTTAGATTTTTGATTATGGGCCCAGTTTTCAAGTTGGTCCAAATCGGGGTCCAAAATTAAACTTTGTTTGATTTCAACAAAAATTGAATATATGGGGTTCTTTGATATGCTGAATCTAACCATGTATTTAGATTTTTGATTTTTGGGCCCCGTTATCAACTTTGTCCACATTGAGGTCAAAAGGGTCCAAAATTAAACTTTGTTTGATTTCATCAAAAATTGAATTCTTGGGGTTCTTTGATATGCTGAATCTAACCATGTATTTAGATTTTGGATATTGGACCATAATAGGTGAATGTCCAATTTAAAAATTTTAAGTTCTTAGACCACATTCATTCTGTGTCAGAAACCTATGCTGTGTCAAATATTTAATCACAATCCAAATGCAAAGCTGTATCAAGCTTGAATGTTGTGTCCATACTTGCCCCAACTGTTCAGGGTTCGACCTCTGCGGTCGTATCAAGCTGCGCCCTGCATTTTATTTGTTATTATCTTGAATATTATTATATAGATATAAACTGTAAACAGCAATAATTTTCAGCAAAGTAAGATCTACAAAAAAGTTTATATGACCAAAATTGTCAATCGACCCCTTAAGGAGTTATTGCCCTTTAAAGACAATTTTACGAAATGTGTTCATCAAGTCTGCTAACATTTAAAAATCTTCTCTTCTGAAACTATTGTGCCTAATACTTCTTAACTTTGAATGAATGTTCCTTTAGGAATCTAGTTTATGAATTGTATCCGAAATTTTGATCCATCAACAAACATGGCCGCCATGGCTAAAAATAGAACATAGTGGTGTAATGCAGTTTTTGGCTTATATCTCAGAAACTAAAGCATTTAGAGCAAATCTCTCAAAGAATTAAAATGTTCAAAAGGTCAAGATCTATCAGCCCTGAAATTTTCAGACACATGGAACAACCCATTGTTGGGTTGCTGCCACTAAATTGGTTGTTTTAAGGAAATTTTGCAGTTTTTGGTTATTATCTTGAATATTATTGAAGATAAAGATAAACTGTAAACAGCAAAAATGTTCAGCAAAGTAAGATCTTCAAAAAAGTTTAATATGACCAAAATTGTCAATTGACCCCTTAAGGAGTTATTGCCCTTTAAGGACAATTTTACACAAGTTGTTTTATGTTTTTTAACTTTAAAAATCTTCTCAAATGAATCTAGTATAAATTTTGTATTTCATTTCCTTGTACGTCAAGAAACATAGACACTATGGCTAAAATTGAACATATGGGTAAAAAGCAAAAATAATCATTGATGAAAGATTTAAGCAAAAAAAATAACAGGTGAGCGATTCAGGCTCTTGAGAGCCTCTTGTTTTTTTTATCTAACAAAAAATCCTGTTCATAGTGATGATATTATTTTTGTGGGATAGTCAGTGTGATATATAATCTTGGGCCATCTCTGTTATTGTCAGTACTGTTAAATTAATTATTATATGTAGCATGTACAGTTTTCTTACAAAATGTTGACTAAAAATCAACTGTTTAACTTTTTGTAGGTTTTTGCTATAAAATACGAATTCTCTGGTGTGACCAACAAGCTAAAGACTGCTTCTTTAATTAACCTTTATTGTTTAAAATTAAGAACTTAAGTTATCTTAAATCACTGCCAGTTACCAGATAGCAGCTA